AATACTTCTCGTGTATACCAAGCTTACAGGTCAATTTCCAGGGGTTTTGGATATGGTGGGTAAATACAGCCCTTGTTTTTTATGAGAAGTGTCCATTTGGGGAGCATGCTTGCAGCATTAGTTTTAGGGCTAAATAGTGTAATCTGCTTCATTGACAGTGATTGACGATGGTCTGGATATAACTTTTTATTTATGTAAACTGCATGTATAAGCCCCCATGTGTATGCCTTTGGAGTTGCCATGGAGAGGCCAATGTCTTTTTAAAATGTTGAGAGATGCCGTTAAACCAAAACTTCAAGAAAAAAAATGGCAAAATAAATCGCCCATTAAAATGTTCTTGAAACCAGCTTTTGTAGTTTTCTTCAGTTTAAAGATTTTCCTTGTAGTACATATGCTGCTAGCTGTCCTCAGTCTGACCAGCCTCATTCAACCCACCTCCTCTAGACCCAGGTCATTCTGGACCCACCACTGCTTGTGACTGAACAGTGACATGAGAAGCAGTTTAGGGTCGATTATTTGTCATTCTGCTCTCTCGTCCTATCAGAGTGCTTGTCTGCACATGATTGGATTGGTTCCTTGCATTACTTCTCACACTTGGAAGAGGTCAGATGCAGGTACTTGCATTGCTAGTACTTGCATTTAATGCTGTATCATGAATATAGAGCCGCTTTAACGTGTCTTATATGTGCATGGAGTCAAGTATTAATATCCCTGTAGTAAAAACTAGCACTAGACTTCCATACTTGTAATTTTTTTTTCCATGTAGAGATCACGTTATTTCATAGGTGGTTATCACTCGTGTGTTAAGGTCCCCACCACCTGATATCTCACAATGTTGGCTTAGATTAGTCATAAGGCTTGTAAATGGCCCACAAGTGGGTATTCTAAGAACAAAATTGGCATGTGCATCTGTTTTGGAATTTGCCAGTAACTGCTCTATGCTTGAAGGAAAACCTTGTGACTGCTGGCCAGCACTAGCTGTGGAATTCTATGGGTTTTCTAAAAGATGGTGTAGGTGTCTACCATACAACCACTTTACCAGCATGATCTTTGTTTGGGTAAAGTATGTGGGTTTTTGGTCCAGTGGATGTGGTGAAACTGCTGTGATGAAAATGATCCACTTGCATGCATAAAGCAGAATTAAACTTTCTGATCCCGTACAGCAGTAGTCTCCAAACTGTAGCTCGGGGGGGGCAGGATGTAGCTCTTTGCTTGTTTATCTGACCCTTGGGGCACTAGCCCTCCCACTGACGCCAGTGATGGGGCACTAGCCCTCCCACTGACGCCAGTGATGGGGCACCATTTTACTCTGGCCACGGCCCAGCCCCCTGAAGTCTGAAGGACAGTAAACTGGCCCCTTGTTTAGAAAGGTTGGAGACGCTTGCTTTACAACAAAGGAAGCTGACATATTGGCCTCTGTTTGATATACACTTGCCATGATGCTGAACTTGTGGTCAGTTTTCATACCCCTCATTTGGGTATATGGTTTTATCGTTTGGTTGCTAGAACAATCACCTGTAACAGTTCTCATTCACAGTATGCCTTGAATGTAACGGTTTTGGGAAACTGTTAAATTGATGGGTTTAGTTCCGCTTTAAATTTAAATAAGTCTTGCTTTTGTATGCATTCAAAGTTAATTGAAGAAAGGAATGTGTAACTTGGGTCAGTCAATGAAAGTGACTTGCTATATGGGAGAATTGATCCTGTAGGGCAGGGGTCTGCAACCTTTAAGACATAAAGAGCCACTTGGACCCGTTTCCGAGAGGGAAAAAAAGACTGGGAGCCGCAAAACCATTGCAACATTTAAAACAAATCCGACACTGCATATATTGCAAAAAGTGCTCTGGTCATGAAGGGGGTTTAAGGGCCCAGTAAGCAAAGGGTTAATCAGGACCACAGTGTATCGTCATAATCACAATCATAGCCTTAAATCAGTGGTGGGCAACCTTTTTTTTTTTCAACTGAGCCAAATCTCGCCAAAACCACGATTGAAATTTATTTTGAGAGAAACATTTTTAAAACTGAAAATACATCCCCCCTATAGTAATTCATCCCCCCCCATAGTAATTCTTCCCCCCCATAGTAATTCATTCCCCATATTGTGTCAATTCACTTACCTTTGCTCCGCGCGTTCCTCTCGCTGTGTTCCCGCGCCGTTCTGGTCTTCAGGGCGGACTGTGAGAGGAGAGGAGTTCGTCACGCTGCCCCGCCTACATCCTGACAGCCAATGTTTGCCAGCGGGCGCCCGGCACACAGAAGAGCTGCATTAAAAGAGCCGCGGCTTGCCGACCCTATTGCCTGTCACCTGGTGGGCAGTGTGCTCCGGAGCCGCAGGAAAGGTGAAAGAGCCGCATGCGGCTCCGGAGCCGCGGGTTGCCGACACCTGCTGTAGGGGATTCCTCATTTGGAAGCTGTTCTGTGTTGTAGGCCACATACAAGTTCATACTGAGCATGCAGTGAGATTATTGCCTTCATTACTCCAGAACACATTTTAGCTCTTATGAGGTTTATCACAGGACAGTTTTAAGCATTGACTCCAGGAGGTCACATGTGAAACACCTTGCACATAAAGGATCTGATAAGGTCCGCCAGTCAGTTTTCCAGGCAGACCTGATCAGATACTCCATTCACCTCTATGGCCAGTAAGTGTAAACTGACCTGTGTATGGTTTTTACTCAACTACCTCCAATCCGGTTTGCTTAAAAAAAAAAAAAAAAAAAAAAAAAAAAAAAACCCGAAAGGGATCCATCCCTCAGACTGGAGGGCAGTCTGGTGTAACCACGGTGGAGTCAATTTACTCCTGGCTACCTATAGAGCAGAGTGGACTGTCTGTCCAATCTGCATAAACTGATCTGTCAGCTCTGCTGTGATCAGCTAACCGATCCCCCACCGATCCAAAGTGTCCCGTGTGAAATGTTTTATGGCCTTCCAAATAGCAGGGATTGATCTGTCTGTGTCACACAGCTCTCTAATGATCTAGGCATGCATTGTTCCTCATTTATGTACATTTTACTGTGTGTTATATTTGGTGCAAAACTTAGACTATTCTATCACTGGGCTTTAGTATAGTGGTGTCTGTAGAAGAAAAACCTTTTTTTGGCAGATGCCTGACTAAACCTTGGTACACACGGGCCGAATGTTGGGCGGCATTGGCTGGTTCAGTAGAAACTGGCCGACATTCGGCCTGTGTGTATGGTGGCTGGCTTCTGTCAAAGGGACATGAACGAAAAAAGTCTGCCGGTCGTTTCTCGATCAGCGCTCCCAAGCCAATGGCGCTGACTGGAGTGTTCTGGCAACAAGGCCGCCCCCGTCAGAACACAATAGCACAGCAGGGAAGATTGCGGTACTAACAACGGATGGCTAGTACAGCGACTCTTCCTGAGCTGTCGGTAATTTTCAGCCTGCTGGGTTGAATGAAAAATCTAGTAGTGTTGTCAACTTTCCCTCTTCAACCTGCAATTTATGTTGGATAATCTCTGCTTGTCCGCATCCATGAGTAGGTAATCATAGGAGTTGGCCTGCCCTGTGGTTATGCAGACACCAGTCTCCCGATCTCCAGAGTCTTTTACAATGGCTGCCTTTAGCCAGCTTACTTTGCAGAATCTGTTTTTGCCATGTCACAGTATGTAGCTACTTGCACTGTCCCTTTTTGAGCTCTTGGATATCTCTTGGCTCTGTCAGTGGGTTAACAAAGATGGCGCAGTTTTCTTCAGCATGTGATGAGGTGAGAGACTTAGGATCCCAATATAGCTGCTAATCACTTCTAATTCTATAAAGCCTGGCAGCCTGTCACAGCAGCTGCAGTTGTACTGTGGGTTCTTCCAGACACAGGGACCGCAGCAATGCAGAGACGGCAGGTACAATGTGTCCTATGGCGCTTTTGTTCTTATTCCTCATCTTATATTTTTCCCCCTCCATCTTTCATATTGCATATAATCTTTCTCTGCCATCCATTCCATTAAATGGTAAATCATTTCATGCTTCATTTGCATATTTTTGTAAATTGAAGTGGATTTAATTTTCTAATTTTTTTCCTTCTCTTCTGTGCATTAATTTTTTTAATAAACATTCTGCAGCATCTGCATTTTATTGTCTCCTATCATTTCCTTTTTTTAATCCATATTTTGAATCCATTTTTATTTCAAATCTAATCTTTCTTCTTAAGGACATCCTGTTTCTTTGAGTCTGTCTAATATGCATGATTGTTAATGGAAAGCATCTGGGTTTTTATCTGGGAGCCATTTTTATTTGTGCTAATTTTTAAATTTTTTTTTTCACTCAATTCAGACAGTCATTCCAAGGCTATTTTAGTTTTTGTACGAACTACTTAGATTTTTGCAATGATATGTTTAATTTTCTCATTGCGGGGACGTGTTCCAGACGAGTCAGCAGGAATGAACAAGAGATGACTTTTTTTTTCTTTGTGCTCCTCTTAGCTTCTTGTTAAATGAGTCATTTTCTCATCATTTTTTACTTGTTCTTCCCATCTGTTTGCCCATATATGGATATCCTCCTTTTTTTTTTTTTTTCCCTTAAACTTCCTGCCCAGTCTTTCCTCCGCCTCTTAACCCCTCTGGGCTAAATGCTTTTTACATGTGGCAAAGACCATAATTTCCTTAGGAGCTGCCTGGATGTGGATCTGCCTTTTTTGTTCTGCAGGTTTATTTTTCTTTCCCATAGACAGGCACTTCCTAACTCACATGCATTCATTTTCTATTCCTTTTAGAACATAGAGGCACTTCCTCCCAGCTTTAACCGGGGCTCCCTGAGCGTGTTGAAGAAAAAGTGGGAGACTCCGGTTCCTGCCGCTCGGACAGAAGTAAAGCGCAGTGGCAGTTTTGTGCTGAGGCAAAGGGTCAGCAGTACTAAGGCGGAAACTGCCCCTGCTGAGCAGCCTGAAGGCAGCCCCACCAAGGTCCGCTCTCCTCTGAAGGAACAAAGTCGCTTCCCAATACCCTAGTGCCACAGGACCACATTCTCAGCCCACCGGGGTGGAAAGCATGGAGCAAGACCTGGAGACTGCAAAGCTGGACACCCCGGAGCCTTCTCCAAAGATTGAAAAGTTCCATGTTCCATTGAACAGTCTGAAGATGATGTTTGAGAAAGGTGAAGCTGCCAATAATAAGGTAAGAGTTGGGGGTGGGGGCGAAGTCAACATCGTAGTCTAATTTTAGGCTATTGGATAAAATTCTGAAACATTTAACGTGTCGACTTTCATATAATGCTGTTTGTTTGGAAACAATAGCTGGTTGGTTGTCATTCAAGCAGATTATAAAGCTGGCTGTGTGCCTTAAGCTCACCATACACATGGACTTGTCTCTTAGAAAATGAGGACCTGCCTAAGCTATACGATCAGTTTGTACCCAATCAGACAGGTCTTCGCACTGCATAGTTGCTAGTACAGACAGTTTTAAATGTCTGGCTAGTTTCCCAATTTGACTTCTCCTACATTGCAGTTGTAAAACATATTTTTTTTTTTTTTGGTTCTGGCTTGCAATTAGATTGTATGGTATGGGGGCACCTTAAACAGAAAAAGATCTGAGCCATTACTCTGTCCTCCTGCCCTAGCAGTCAGTCTGGCGCAGCAGGCAGTTCAGGGTCAGGTTCAGCGACTAGCCACTGGTGAACTGATAACTCAGCAGTTGGAGACACTACTGGAGTTTTTCATGAGTTAACACAGCTGTGTGCAGCAGTATCTGAAGCTGGGGGGTGGGGATGGAGAGTTCTGTAAGCATTTGCAGGATGATTCCTCACTATTCCTTGTACCCCTCATACTTGCATCTAAAAATTAAAACGTTCTCTTGGTCAGTGAACTACAAGTTGCTCAAAAGGAGCTGAACCATGACCACAGAAGATAGTGTTCCAGCTGTCCTGCCTGGGGCATTGGTAGTCACTGTGCCTTCTCCGTGACATCTCGCTTCCACCTGGCTACAAAATGGACATGTCAGCAGTTTGGGAATGAGTCAACATATGTATGAGCCTCTTGTGAGCAGGATGCAGCCTGTCTCTGAGCTCACTTTCTCTTCCTATTGTATGTTTGGCACCTCCTGTAATGGAACTCCTGAGTGGAAAAGGTCAGGTGAAACTCTATCCTTGCACTGTAAATGGAGAAAAAAAGGGGGGGGGGGGGGTGTATGTTCAGACCATATTTGCAGAAAGTTGGAAAGTGTAGTAAACATTTTATTGAGGTATAATGTAACTTTGTTGTACAAACCCCAAAAACGTTGGGTAGCAGACAGTAAAATGGCATTCTGTAGGCCAGTGGGGAGCCTTTATAGCACTAAAATAAAAAAGGTGTCCATTGGCACTGGATGACTTAATTTCCTTCTGGCTGAATTGGGTGAGTTATATCTATGGTTCTGTCACACTACTGTACCTGGCTCATTGGGGAAATGATGGCAAGGGTTGGAAAACCTTGTGTGCTCCCCCCTTAAAGCCAGCACGGATTGCTGCTAGTTACAAAGGATTTCCAAATACATGCTGGTGCAGTAGATGGCATCCCATCAGGACCTGTTGGGTTTTTTTGTGCATCCAAAAACATTGACATATGCTCAGGATTACTTAAAAAGCTACTGGCTACAATTATTTTTTCCAGAGCATTACCAGGATTAAATTGGCTTTAAGGAAAGATTTGTTTTCTTTCCTGACCAGTTTTAGTTCACTTCTACTTCTTCTTCCTTCCATTGCAAGTACTAAATTGGCTGTGCAACACAAGCTTTGCAACCATTGTGTACAGACCGCTACAGGCAGGATAGAAGATCTGGCCTTTTCACTGGGCTTGCAGTCTAGAACTAGGAAATGCAACAGAGCCGAAGCAGAGGTGGGTCTCATAGTGTGTATGTGGGCCTTTAAGTGAGATGATAGGCAAAAATTAAAGTGGTATTGCTTGGTAATCATTACATGTGGTTTTTAGGTTTTTCCCCTCTGTTTTTACCTGATCTGACCAGTAACACACCTCCTGTATTGGCATGCCCCCACTCTGGATGAAGGTGCACAGGGCACCTTTGGACAGCAACAATGTCAGTCTGGGAGGAGTGAGTGTTAAATGTACTAGCAGATTTAGATACACTAACAATTTGAAGCCAAACTCCAGCTTACTCTTTAAAGGCAGTTAGAACAAACCTTTTTTTTTTTTTTTTCCCCTTTATGGAATTACATAAAAATAATCATTGTAAGCACCCCTGCTAGGGTTTAACGCTTGTTTCATCCCTGTAATGGATATATTCTAATGGAAATCTTTTTCTGACGAAAGAAGTTAGTGGCAGGATCACCAGGTAAAAATAAAAGGAAGAAAAATCACATCTATGAAGTGATGAGCTGCAATGTTTGCTTTTGGGTTTAATACCACTTTTAGTTGTATGATGCGCTAGCCTAGTTTTTAAGTCTCCCCTGTAGATCCTGCCAATAGATCCACTTTCCACCCTGTAATAGGGTGACGCTGTTCTGTGAACATGGTGGTTTTGAAAGAGAACTAATTTGTTAGCCGAAGATTAAGCTTTAAGTGAAACTACTAAACCTTTTAGGTTCCTTTAAGCATCTGGGAAGGACTGCCATCCTTGTGGAAAGCAGTTTTCAGATGCATTTGGCAGGTGGTGAGGTGATATTACTTCCTCATTGCTTGTTTCAATGCTTGAAATGCCACACTACTACAACAGTGTGCCCTTCACACGTCTATGGGGTGGTTGCAGCGCAGACCCATTTTCTTGACAGGGATAGTTTAATATTTGCTTTGTAGTCAAGCACCAAAGCATGTGTACACCCTTGTCCACTGCCTATGCAGTGGGAGGGATGGCCAAAAATTCTGCTCAACCTCATGGTTATCATAGTACCCCTTCCCCAAACCACAAATGTAAATGAGCCCTTAAATAGCCACTGTTTTTTATTTATTTTTTTTTTCTTGTGTGGTTTTTTTTTTTTTTTTTTTTTGTTTTGGGTTTTTCTTTTGCTTTTGGGTTTTTGGGGGTGGGATGGGAGATTTAAACCATATGAAAAACTGAAAGCATCACTGTTGGTGTTAAAGCAGAACTGAAGTTCTGTGGAAAAACAGCAGGCATGCTTTTGATGCAGAAGAGACTTGTTCTGTTTCTTCAATAAAATGCTCCCACCTGTGTGCTTGCTGTGTTATCTGCAACTATCAACTGAGCTGTGCATGCGAAGCCCAGCTTACAGTTCATGTATGACTAGCTCCTATGCATAAGTGTCATCACCTGCTGGCCAATAAAAAGGCCCAAAGACTGGCACTCAGAAGCTGGCGCCAGCTAGGGACCGTTGAACAGGTAAGTATTCACTCTTTAATTCTTTAAATGGCTTGACCCAACCCCTCTAACTGGAAAAGCTGTCCAGCCAAGGTCAGTTAAGTGAAGGGGGGGGGGGGGGGGCGTTGGAGGAGATGCACTTTAATAGAAATGGTGTCTGTGCTGAAAACCATTTGAGATGTACATAATGTGACCATAGTGTGTATAATGTGACCATAATGTATGTGATGTGATCATATGTTAACACTGAGATTGTGAATTAACCCTGCGAGCACTGCTAATATACACTTACATATTTCTAGCTAATGTTTGCATAAAAAGGATTGGTTCACAGAAGTATATTGCAAAACATGTTCAAGGTGGCCAACTGCTTCAATGATCCTTTTCTGGCCACTCCCTTCTGTGCAGAACAGCAAATTAACAAAAAATGGGTCTGAGCATGTAGACTCACACTATAACTCGAGTTGGTGTCTAAGGTCAAAGGTGGCAAATTAAATATCTTCAGCTCTGCATATGCTAGAAAAACGGTGGTGTTTAGGTCCACAATTGGGTTTGCATTTGCTACAGCTTGAAACTTGATGGGGCAAACATCGATGTTTCCTAAACTGACAAAACAAAGCTGAATAGAGAACCCAAACCAGATAACTTGCACTCGTGTCTCCTCTGGGCTTGGCTGTTTCAAAGCTATTTCTATTTTTTCTTTTAGGAACTCCAATGATTTGCTTGGTACTAATGGATTGGTGCAAGACCAATGTGGTGCCTATATTTTAAAAAGTAACTACAGACCTGTTTAACTTCTACTGTAGTCAGAAAGATGCTTTGCTACAAAACATTATTTTAAGGGATAGTTGGCATGGATTTGCGAAAGACCGAATTTGTCAAGCATATCTGCTTTCTTTTTATGAAGTTAAAAAATGGAGTGCCTGTGGATAAAGTATGCCTTGATAGAAAATGGTCTATAAATGATAAATTCTTTAAAACTTAATCAGAGTAGTGGTGATTCAGATTCTGAATGTTTTTTTTTTTTACTTTCAGGAATCCTTATGTCTAGTATATTTTTAAACTGTTTCTGTGTTTGCAGATACAAGCCATGTAGTGGAATAAGTCTCTACATGTCTAACTTTCTCACAGATTTGAATGCAGTGTTTGAGCATTTATGTAGCAAATGAGGATTAACGTTGATAAATGTAAAGTAATGCATGTGGGGGCTAAAAACATGCATCATACATACTAGTGGCGTCACAGGAGCTTAGTGGTTAGCATGTCTGCCTTGCAGTAAATGGGCCATGGGTTTGATTCCCGACAATGGCGCCTCCTGCATGGAGTTTGCATGTTCTCCCTGTGCTTGCATGGGTTTCCTCCGGGTGCTCTGGTTTCCTCCCACACTCCAAAGACATGCTGGTAGGTTAATTGGATCCTGTCTAAATTGGCCCTAGTATGTGTATGAATGAATGAGTTAGGGACCTTAGATTGTACACCCCTTGATGTGAATGTTCTATATATATATATATATATATATATATGTGTGTGTGTGTGTGTGTGTGTGTGTGTGTGTGTGTGTGTGTGTGTATATTGTATGTGTGTATGTATGTGTGTAAATTGACAGCGCTATATAAGTACCTGAAATAGTGGGCATACAACTGAGGGAATCATATCTGGAAGGATCTGGATGTTTTGGTAGATCACTTGTGGAAAGGAATGCCAAGCTGCAATTTCTAAAGCAAGCAAAACAAGACCTCATCTGGAATATGCAGGTCAGTTGCGGACAGCAGTTAACAAAATTATGTTTGGGAACTGGAGCGTGTGCAGAGAATGGCTACCAAACCGACAAGGGGTATGAAGGGAGAAAGGGCAGAACTGAAAATCATCTT